TGAAACGGTGTTCAGGTGAGTCGAGCAGCTGCACACTTACAATGCTACATGTTGAGTCTCAGCATTTGAGAGTTTGGCTCAGCGTAGCTCCAATCCTCCCAACTTCCGCAATCAGGGTGCCATGATCTCAAACAGAGACGAGACAACCCCGAACCCAATGAACCCAGTGCCCGATTTCGACACTGTAAGCATCCTTAGATGAGCTAAAGCAACCGGTGAAAGAAAGGCCGTCGTAAGACCATGAAGTCCCAACCGCTGTCGTCGTTGCGATGTTTCAAAGCCGAGGCTACTTGTCTCGCCGGCAATGGCATCCAGCTTGAGACTTCCATTGTGCTCAGCTGGTTTAGGGGTCCGGTAATGTGCGGTTCCATCTAAACACGGAAGGTCAGACTTTACGAGACGTATATCAGACTCCATATCGCCGATCTTCAGCCTTTGTTTTGAAACGAAAGCTGGCAAGCTTCGACTTTTCCATCAGCCTTGAAAAATTGTTGGTTGTAATCGGGAGGTTCGGTCGATGCCGATACTTGCGCGGTGTTTAGCGGTGTATGTGTTGCCAGTATGGCGCTCGATATCAAGACGTGTAGCAGTACGTAAGGCCAATCCCTCCTCCCACGCGAAGGGGAGGTAGACGGAAGGGGCGTGGGGTGGGGCATTTTGTGCTGTTCGTACAGACATGTTCGGTCCGTTCAATGCGTGCCCACGCATTTCGATGCAAAGGGTTCGGTTGGAGATGCATTCATTGGCGTTAAAGTTGCAACAGCCCTGGAAATGTAGTCTGGCGAAATCGGAACAGAAAAAGCATCCAGGCAGCAATGAAGGCCCTGCGCCAATGTCCGTAAGCAAAGCAACCGCATCACGAACGTGAAGCTGGTATCAACCGTGTGGGCTACGACCACCACAACCAGGATGACAAGCACGACCATGACTACCAGAGCCACCACGGGACGACCACAAAAACAACGGCCAGGAAAACGAGGAGAGCATCCAGACACGAGGAAGCCACCGGAAGACCACCACAAAACCACCAGGAAACCGGTGAAGACCACCTGCAGACCGCCAGGAGACCAGCCAGGAGACAAGCAGCAAATCACCGACACCAAGACACGTACCGGCTAGATTCGCTAGATTTAGGGACACCTCACCACAGCGGTAGTTGGCACATGGGCCTTGGGCGCTTCTTCCCCTCGTGTGCTGGCGGGATGCTGTAAATGCGGGTCGTGGACGGGGTGGACGGGTACAGCTCGCGAAGGACTGCCCCCAGAAAGTGCAAAATCGCTGAATCCGGGACCTTCGAAATCCTAACCTTGCAAAAGCAAGTCCCGAAATTTGGGTTTACGCTCATATCCCAAACCCAGCGCTAGAAGGAACAAGCTCTTTGAGCCCAAGCAAGCAACATCGTGCTAGGTTACATTGCCATAAACTCTACTGATGGCTTTAAGGAAGGCGGGTTTGGTTGCCTGACTGTCACACGCGCTCTTCCCAGGACATTTTTGGCAGGCCTTTGGCGGGGTGGTGCACCGGCCCACTGTCTTCTCTCATATGTGAGACTCTGCCAAACTGTATGGTTTCGGCAACTTGGGAAGGGATCCCTTATTTGGGGGCAGAGGCCACCTTGAATCAACAGTCCTGCTTGCTCTTCCCTGCATGAAGACCCCTTTAGAAGTTGTATTGGTCTACAAAAGTAGGATGTAGATGTTCTCCGGACAGACACACCGAGTCAAAGTCATGTCACAAGGCCTGTGATAGAAAGTCACGTTAGTGTCTCCGGGTGCATGATTGCAAAACATGTCTGCAAGTCCAAATGATGGCGTATCCTAGAACAGGCCGACACTCGATCAGCTCACTCTAGTGCTAGTGCTTGTTTCTCTGTCTTGCTCGAAAAGCCTGAATAGCTACCGACTAGGATGCGTTCAGTCGAGCTTGACGTTGAACCTCTGGCTCAACTTGGAAAACTCCCCAGTCTTTTCAAGCCTACAAGTCTACACTCCGAAGCCACGACCTTGAGTCGTAAGCTTGGTGAAATTTGCAAAGGATGGGTTCATTCCTTGGCTTCAACGTCCTTTGGGTCTTCAGCTGCGTCTCGCTGCCTTTGCGCCGCACTGGCGGTTGCTTTAGAGTCGTCAAGTTGGGAATCCCCTTCAGTTGCTGCGATGTGTGAGAAATACAAAGAGGATCTTTGTTGGGAGAGGCTCCGGCGCTAGTGCACTGTGTGACACTTCTTGCTTCAACAATTTCCGTTTCAGCTCGTGGCTTTTCGCGGTTACCAAGGTGGGTAGGTAGCGTAACGGTCAATTTGTCCATATGCAGGTGCAGCATACGTGGCTTGCCGATGTGTTCGCTGTCGGAGAGGAACCCTCCATGTTTAAAAACGGCCTTCCCCGCGACGGCCAAGCCCGTGAGAGTCGAAGCCCATTCGAACTGCAGCTCGTTGGACGCTCAGAACTCCCCAACTTTCCTGTATTCCATCGGTTCGTCGCCCAAATCTTGCAATGAAAATCCAAACGGATCCCATGCCTGCCCTAGGTTGGAGGCAGCCTCAGGGTCTACTATGATTGTGCAGGTCACATACGAGTACCGCCCCAGAAAGATCTCAAGAATGCCCAAGTCCAGAGCTTGCAGACCCCAAGCTACAGACCCTGTGCAGAGCTTCCGAGCTCCAAAAGCCCGAAGCCATCATCCCAATCAATCTAGTCTGCTGTTCACTGTTGCCGCGTGTATGATGTTTCTGTTCGGCAGCTGTTTTTGCTTGCTTGTACTGCTAGTTATTTCATGATTTCTGCTTTGGTGCACTTTTCGGAATTTTTGATGTCATCGCCAGTGCTGCTTCTGCTTGTGCTGATAGCCAATAGACAGGCATTATTACCAGGATGATGTTGGCTTCCATGTTTTAGATATTCTGCGTTTCATCACAGCCACGATCACAACACCTGCTGCTGCTAACCAACAGTGGCTGCAGTGATCTTCATGATGTGCCAGCACCGGAAGTCGATGCATCATTACAATGGGCCCGAGCTCCCGAGCTCAAGGTTCCTCTACCTTTGCGACCACTTTGCCGAGCCACGGTGGCCAGGGATCTTCGACCACCTGCAGACGTTCTTGATATCCAGCCGAATTAGATTCCTAGATTCCTCACGCCTCGGGGGGCTTTGCGGGGTTGAGTAGAGGGGTGTAAACGGAACTCATCTCAAAGCCTTGTGCTGCGCAAAACAAACTTGCTCGAAGCCTTCGGTTGATAAGGTAAGGGTATGCCAGCTAGAGTTGACCAGACAGGGAGCACAAGGAATTGGGGGTGGTGTTGATTGGGCCTTGTTCGGTCCATTACCATGGAAATCGGACATTGTCTTCATCACCTTCACTTCGTCTAATCAGGGTCGCGAGGAGTCTTATCAATGTCACTATTGTGTTCCTCGTTCCTACGATGCCATCCGCCTGTCTCATGTACATCTGCTATGCACGATATAGTGCGGTGCATCTTGAGGTGGCATTGTGGAAGACATGGATACTCAGTTCTGGTACAATAATGCCAGTTCCGAAGACAAAACAAATTCTGATTTGTCTTTTCGTTGTTTTCATTGTACTTTAGTCCCACTGCCAGTGACTGTCATGATCAGTATTGCGCTAGTGTAGATCCTCTGAATCGTGCTGGAGAACCGCGACGACAACGACACCCACGAGCGACCACCAGGACCACCACGTCCCCCGGAAAACCAGACTCACTTTAAATTCCAATGCATTGACCACCTGTCGGCCTCGAAATCTCATGTTCTGGTGGTTTCCTGGTGGTCCGTAGTCTGATGGTCTCCTGGCCGTCTGCTCTTCTGGTCTCCTGGTGGTCGCTGCGCTGAATGGATCCTGTGCAATCGGACGCGAGCACACACAAAGAGGGAGCCGCGGCCGAGGAAGCCTACCGGCGCCGGCGATGCGGTCGCATCCAACTGTCGCACAAAATCTTGGCACATTGGTGTAGCACACTTATCGGAGAGCAATTGAGAATTATGAGTACATGTCTGTATTCGCACGATTGTTGACGTTTAGATATTGTCAGCCGCCTAAGACTGATTCGCATGAGTATTAATTACTTTGATTAATGTTTTCAATTATCATCCCGCCGACCTCCACTCCAATTACCATCGCTAGTGTTGGTACTCTTTATTTTTACTCTTTCTGTCATTATTAATGACTCTCACTATGACGATAACTTAACGTTGGTGTTGCTATCCTTACTCAATTTTCAATTTTGTAGTCTATGGCTCTTGCTGTTGCTGCTGCCATTGCCGCTGCTATGACTGTTACTGTCAACTGCTACGAGTTTGAATTACTGGCGCTATGACTGATGGCTGTCACTAAGCTTATGAGTATGATTATGATCGTGCTCCTTCTTGTTTGTACAGGTGTAAATGGCCGGCAGACTTTTTTTTATCATACTTTAAATTTACATTGTTGCAACTCGTTGCCTTTGATGTTGAAAATAGTATTCTTCTCACTCAATGTCATCGAGTCATCAACGAAAATTATATCATTATATTATCATTATTGATGCTCTCATGGTTGTTGTCATGGTTCCTGCTACTTCCTCTGTTGTGTATGGGCGGGGTGTGCGAAGATATACATGTACACGTACAATGCGTGTATGTATAGGTGTATCTGTTAGGTGAATGAGTACGTGTGCGTATGCATATGGTTAGTTATACGTATATGCATACGTAAATGTAAATGTAAAGGTATATGTATAGTCTATGCTTGCATACACACGTATACAGGTATGTTTGGATAGCTGGATAGCTAGTCAGGTAGGTAGGTAGACTCGTAGGTAGGTAGGTAGCTGGGTGGGCAAGCAGACAGATAGGTAGGTAGATCGGTACGCAGACAGTGGGATGGATGTATGGATGGGTAGATGGATGGAATACCAGACTGATAGATTGAGAAATAGATACCGGCTTAGCAGTAGACCCTGAAGGCAAAGATTCTGCAGCATCCAGAACTTGAAAGCATCCAGGATGTTCCTGGCGTTCTTGGCGTGGTTCTACGCCGGAGCTTCTCTCTCCGTGTGGGCGTACACGCCCCGCGGCTATCATTCATGATGTGGTGTTGAAGACTTCTCCATCTTAGTGTCCCGGGGTGTTGGTCTGTTGGTGATGCTGCTCTGTTTGGGATACGCAAGAGTCCGAGAAACCGGCACGCGAACCACGAAGCGAAAAAGTGTGCAGAGTCTGGGCGTCCAAGTAGGTATTTATGCGCAACTTTCGGAGAGCAGTGGTACTTGTAGTCACACCGATACTTGACGTTCTTGCATGGCCAGGGCAGAGGTGCTTCGAGCATGGTCGAATATGGAAGTATGCCAATAATGCAATAGTGGCAACTTGCGCGTGAAGGTGCACGCACGACCGCTTACTACGTCGACCTCGGATCCTTCAACTCGTAAACTTGACCCGACTGACAGCTTTAAGCCTTGGATTTTGATCTGTAAAACCCTGAAACCCTACATCCTCAAGCATAAACATCAAGCCCGTTCAGACGGATACCATCACGGCTTTCTTGTCTTTTTTGATGTTTTGCCCTATGCGGTCTTGGCTATTTCTTTGTGATATTATGCTATTGCTACTGTCCTCGGCCGTGTATCTCTTCTCTGCCAGTGCTAGTGGAGATACGGTGGACTATGTGGAGCTTTTGCCTGCCTCGTGCGAGTGTGAGCGTCGAAACCTGAAAAAGCTGCACTCAGGTCGAGTCTCTTCACGTCTGCTGCATGGTTGTGCGTCTCACTTCTTTCTGCGGGCACTTCGTATGTGCTCTTCCGGCCAGGCTGGTTTAGGTCCCCTTTGCTTTAGGGTGTCTTTCGGTTTAGCCGCCAGCTGCAGGGCATCCCGGCTTCTTGATTGGAGTCTCAGGCTTTGGGTTCTCTCCTCATGCCACGTATCTTTCATGTCTACACACGTCCCTGGGGTTGGCGGCTGGTTGCTTCGCAGTCTACGGCACGGAATTTGCTTAAGGTGTTTAGTGCACAGGAGCCCTCCGTCGGATGCCCTCAGTATGCATAGGGCACCCCATCTGCAGCGCGGGTTCACAAAGAATTGCGCCGCAGGGATGCCGGGCGATGTCGGAGAGGCACAGGGATAACCCAAGACCCAGGAACCGAAAAGGGCTTTGCGTTGACGAATGGGTACAACACCCCGAACCCTATACCCATCACACGAGCACGATTCCAACTCCAGACTTGGAGACAGCCCTTGCGTAGAACAAGCTCCAATCTTTAGGACATTTTTTACCCTAAGATCCGAGCCAACCAATTAAACCAGTGCGGTCTTGGGGGTTTCAAGAATGTATGGCCTAGGGCTTACATAAGTCCAAAGCTCGCATACTACCACAATCGTGGTACATGCAAGGTCGGTTCTTTGCAGCTTTGTCTGCTGGGGCTGTTCAATGTTTGCCCACAGACCCGCAAGCCGACATTGCGCCTTTAAGTTGTCAACGGAAACCAATAAAGCCGTAAACCAGCATGTCAGAGTTGGAGTTGTTGTGCTTTCCATACGTATCACTGCTACCCGGGCGATCTGTGAGCCACAGAGCCACCGGCGTCTATATCCGGGGAGGTGGCAACCATCCCCCGGTTACAGAGCACCTCATACTTGCCGAAGTGGGCCAAAGAAGTGCCGGGTTCGTGGTGGCGGGGCGAGATCGAGTGTTTGCATTGCCCGTGACAAACCCGACTTAATGATGACCGACCACCCCTGCTCCGGAAACTGTAAAACTCCAAGCCCTAAGTTCTAAGCTACCTTTTTTGGCGGCCCCCAGGCTGTCTGGATGATCGCTGGCTTCAGACATGAGAGCTGACTCATACTTTTCTGCTGGGTAGGAAGCGGGAACAAAGACTGCGAACCCTGAAGCTGCAACGGTGCAGCACCCAGCGGTTGCCAAGGGAGGAGGACGAGTACACTCGCCAGATGGAGGAGCTTGAGAAGGCCAGGGCACTTTGTGCAATGGAGATCCCTGGAACGAACCCTCCTTTCATGGGAGGTAGACTAGCTACATTTTAGCTTGAAGGGAGGGTCTATTTTTCGGAGGAGGGGTCCGGGCTTCGGGCTCAGAGTCCGGTTGAGTTTGCTTTCGGATCTTGTGGTTCATGCCCTCAGGTTTGGCTGCGCCAGCTCGTTAACCCTAAATCTTACACAGTCACTTGCCTAGGATCCTCAAGAAGAAGAAGAGCACTCTTGAATCACTCGGAAGCGCAGGTGGTTCCCTAGAGCTCTCTAGAATCACACAATACCTCCTAAAAAGCACAGTCCATTCCCGGTGACCTTTAAATCAAGATCTGCGAAATCTGAAAGAAAGCTTCACACAATCCTCGACGAAGAGACAAAACTCCTGCCCGAAAGCATCGAATCCTGAAACCAGGAGCTGGAAGAGGAGGAGGAGCTGCGTCGGGCCAAGGAACAGGAGGAGAGATCGAGGGTTTCGCAGCTGAGGCTGAGTTCCTAACCAAGACCGTCGAGCCGTAAGTCGAGTCTAGGGCTTCCCCGAGGGCCAACCAATCCCTCATCCTCAAGATCCCTGTCGGGAAGTCCTAGTAGTTGGGAAGTCGCCAGTTGCAAGTGGTTTGCAGGGCTTCGGATTTTTGGGCTTCAGAGGCGCAGGTGTGCAGGTGTGCAGGAGTCAGGGGTTTATATAGCATGTGTGCACTACCTTGACTCCCATGAACACATGCCTGCAGGAGTTCGAAAAGGAGAACGAAGAACTGGACACCCGGCACACTTTTTTGAAAAAAAAGGCTTGATCATCACTGTCCTGTGCCGGACATTAGTCCCCTTAGGGGTTGCACTAGGGACTGTTTTGCAACTAGGGGTGCGGCAACGGGGGCCTTGATTTGGTGCCCGGGCCCAGACCATGTTCTTTCTCACTCGGGAAGCTCTCTAATTACACATGTTGAGGTGCGCGGCTAGCATAGGCTATGCTGACACGACTGGAGTGGAGGTCTTGGGCAGATCGTGCCACTCCTCGTTGGTACGGTGTGCAGCACGCACTCTTGGTTGGAGGGTATCCATTATCCAGACAAGTTACTTAGGTTCAGGTCCGTGACATGTGGTCCGACTGGATACAGTTTAGGCAGTTTAGAGTTAAGGTCCCCTTCAGTTGCCCCCGCCTGGCGTGCAACGTTGATTGTAGTCGAATTCTCCTACACCTAGACACTGCACCTACATACTCTCACGGGCATGCAGTGCTGGTTAGACTTGTAACCCGCTACATCATGGACAAATATGTTGGATGTTTTCTCTTGAACAACTTGTTGGCATTCGTGCAAGCATCAGGCCGGTATTCGTGCAGCGGTTCCAAACAGTCTGGAAATCGAAAAGCTTGAAGAGCCCCTGCAAAAATGAACAGGGACCCACGTGACAGCCCAAAGCCACCCTAGTGGCCCTTGTACCCCAAGACTAGGTTTCTTCGTTCTTGTTAAATACAGCCTCAGGATCGAGAGCTCCTGGAGGAAATGGGTTATGACGAAGACGACATTCAGGACACGCATGGTCTGCGAGCTCGTTTCTTCGAGAGCTCATGCATTCCTGGGAATTCGAGCTGCAGCGTGCCTGCTAAAGACCTCTATGCCTCCTGTGGAACTGGGCGCAGGTAGGGTTGCCAATGTGGCAAGAGCAGCAAGACTCAATGTCAATTGTCACTAGATGGCATGAACCGATGTGGTGTTGAGCGCAATGGCGCACATGAGCGAAATTAACGTGAGAAGTCACAGCAGTCGTGGTACTACTGGCAAAGCCAGAAAGGCTGATAGCAAGAAGAAGATCACGTATCAGCACATCTAGGTGGCAATGATGACACCACTGGCTGCACAAGCGAGCAGTACATAGTAACGATCTAGTTCGGTTCGCGGTGTCTTTCTTGATGTTGATGGCAGTGCTCCTAGTCGTCGTCGTTTGAGCTGCCATGTCGGTGTGGCTTTCAGGACCAGTAGATTTTGGTTAATTTTCTGCTGATGCTAAGATTGACAACGTTTCTCACCCTTCCTACTGTCGTTAGTGTGTGGTTCATCGTCGTGGTGGTTTTGGTGCTGACGTAGAGAGGTATGTCTAGCACATTCGCTCTCTGGAGATAGAGCAAGAGACTTGCATGAGAGCCAGACATGGTTGTCGAAATGTTGGGTGGGCCTATGTTCTGCAAAATAGTGCATGGATTTGTCATGCTTTATACTGAACGCAGAGTTTTAATTGGAGTTGGGGCGGCTGGACTCGTCGTTTGGTACAAAAGCGTTAGTTTCAGGCTCAGGATGGGGTGGACTTGTAGGTGAGGCTAGCAAGGGAACCCCTCGGCTCCAACCACGTGGAAAATCAACCTGTCGCGGAAGGATTCGATTCACTGCTAGAATCGAATATCTCCTGGCCTGCAGGAGTTGATCGAGACGTTCCGTATGTTCGACAAGGCGTTGCCGTTGGCTTTGTGGGGGTAAGGCTTGAAAGTTCGACTGGAGTTGTTGTGCTTACAAGTCTTTCCCAGCCGTGTGCTTACGCTGAGACAAACAACGAGAGCAATTGTTCTGCGAACGCGAGCCCGAATCCCTAAGTGGGTTTAGGCCCTCGACAGCCACAAATCCGACTGCATGTCCTTGGCTTGCATTGGCCAGGAGTCTTCCATGGCTGTCCGTTCCCACAACAGTGTTTTCCTCATCCCTTCGGAAGAAAGCGCGTTTTGTCGAATCTTGCCCGGGTGCGGGCATAAAGCAGACAGTCTCACCTGAGCCTGCTCAGCCTCGGTCATCTCAAGCCTTGAATCCTGCGATTAACGTCCAGAAGTAGATCACAACATCGTAAGTAGCATTCTTGGTGTACACTCCCTGTACAGCGGTCCCCGAGCCTTCTTCTAGTTTTCCGACCATCGTGTCGAGCTCAGGACTCGAATGCTAGCTGCTCCCACACTTGTGATATTGCCCTTTGTCGGGGATGCTGGCATGGAAGAAGTATACTGGTATCACATCCTACAATTGCTTCCAATACGGTTCCTTTACTGAGAACCATTCCCCGAGGGCCGTATGAGACGTTGTAAGGTCAGCAAAGACTAGGCATTCGTGGATGCCGCATGTGTGTAGACAGACAGAGACAGACAGACCGACGGACGGACGGACGGACAGACAGACGGGGACAGACAGACTTTTGGAAGCTCAGCCGGACAGATAGGCACGTATAAACATAGAATTAAGTTAACAAGCAAGTGTATGCAAATCTCGATCAACTGGGCAGGATGGAAACGGCTTCATCGACAAGCACGAGCTTGGAGAGGTGATGAAGAGCATGGGCGAAGAGTACGATGACGAGCCTTAGACGTCGAGGTTTGGGCTTGAAGTTTTGGCATCGGGTCGTTTTGCAAAGTTCCAGTGTCAAATTAAGCTGCGGATGTGTTGAGGTATAAGTCATAAGCCACCCACCCAAGAAGAACTCAGTCAGCTGCTGGCAAAACGGGGTGTCAGCAAACGGTGCAGGGTTAAGATGTCTAAAGGTTGTCACCACATCGGCCCCGAGCCCTGAATTCTCGAATAGGCATGAACCCTTAACGCCGATTCCCGACGGGCGCCTAGACCAGATCGCACGCTCACCCCTTCCACCAGGCTTGTGGCCGAGTTCATGATACCATATTCCAACCTCACAGCTTCAATACAGCTCCGGGTGTTTGGCTTTGCAGCGAGTTGTTGGGTTCAGAGCTTCGGTTGAAGAATCTCCACGCATCTCCACGCGATATTCTGCAACTTGTGCTCTCCAAACCTAAACGACCTAAAACCTTCCTAAACCGTGGCAAATTCTCAGACTCGGAAGCACTGGACCATTTGCACCGAGGACGAATTGGACGAAATGTTGCAAGATGCTGACACCGACGAAGATGGACCTGCCGCACAGGGTTGGCAACTTCATGTCAACGGTTGAGACAAGTAGAGTGTAGTTGTTGTTTCTCCACTATTTTCAACTTCCTCCAGCACTCCGAGCAAATGACCCGTGTTACGCGGTTTGGGTCTAGGGAGAAGGGCTTGGTTTTCAAGATTCGGGGTTCAAACAAAATGTGCTGCTCTTCGGAGCAGAAGCCTCGCCAGGCTTACCCCAGTTGTGAGTGCTGAACGTTCAAGACCGCGAGATCTTTCAGAGCGAGAGTTCAAAAAAGCCTCAAAGCAAGTTTACGCCATATGAGCGTAAGCCCTGCCCTATAGCTGATCGCCGTACATCAGAAACTGAAAACTTACACCCCGCAACCTAAATCCCCGCGCCTGATAATCACTTGCCACAGGACGTATCAACTACAATGAGTTCGCGATGATGATGATGTGATGTCTTGGAGTAAGGCCAGGAGCTGTCAAGGGGTTGGATGCGGCTACGACTTCTGTAATCGCAAGCGGCAGGGCTTGCGGGAGTCGCTGCACATCGTAAGACGGCGCTGAAATGCCGTGACGACTCGTCATCCGAATGAGCAACCCTTTGTTTGCTGTTCGGTCGCGCGAAATGCCGCTGCGTGTGTGGTGCTGGAACGTTTCGTGTTCGGCATTGACAGCCTTTCGGAGTTGCTGGTGTGTCCGCGCCCTCTGTCAAGCGCGATCCATTGGGCTCATGTGGGCCTCGACATGTGCGGTGCTGCGTTGAATTTGACATCGAAATCTGTGAATCCTCCCGGCCCTTGAGGGAAGAATTTTGGTAATGTCTTTGATTCCCGCCCGTGCATTGGGGCGAAGCATTTGGCCGTACTCCTGAATTGCCCAGTGCATGGGGAACATAGTGGACATGTCTCTGAATCCGACAGTGCAAGGGGGAAGTGTGGCTGTGGTCCTGAATGCCGCCAGTTCTCGGGGGCAGGCATTTTGGTAGCGGCTTTGATCGAATAAGGGTTCTGAGGATACAGGAAGAAACGGTTGGAAGGAGGATGTATGAGAGGGTTTGTAGCAGGGTGTCGCCCCATATGGTTGCACGTCGGCTGGGTCCCCTTTTGAGACCCTTTTGATAAAGCTTTCATATGAACCCCCTAGATCACCTAGTCACTGGCTCTCGAGGGGTTCATATAAGAGCTTTATCGGAGGATTTTGCAGGGGGATGCAGCGGACGTGCAACCATGTGAGGCATTAAGTTGGGACGTAATCCGAGAGACGGACATGATCTTATGCGCACAAACTTATTTCATATAAGATATGTGTTTCGTGGTCACCGTGGTCGGGATTGCATTTCAGGGCACGCTTGAGGTGGGCATCTTGTGACCAAGCCTTCCCACTGTTCCTGGCAGTTGCTGTATCCCGATACTCCAGATGTGACGCTGGCAAGTCTTGAAACTTTCGTTTTTTTGATTGCAGATACGTAGCTGGCTATCTGTCAAGGGCACGTTGAAATGACAGCAGCGGCAGGCACAGCCAGCATCATTGTGATTATGATTGCGTTGTTTTTTGTTGAATTTTCTTGGCTGCCTCCTTACGATTTCTCGTGCGCTTCAGGGTCCCGAGCAGGCCGTCCCACCTTGACAGCAGCATCTGCGGTGCTGAGCCCGAGGAGGAAGAATAAATAATGGCCGGAATGCCCATCGTATTTTGATGGTTCTGTAAATGTTATATCAATATCATAATGGCCCAACACCCTATTCTAATTATCAAGGCCCCTATAGAACCTGGACAGGTGGGAGCCTCATGGAGCCTCGATCTGCCAATGAGCGGGAGTGTTCCCAATGTCGTGGAGCCCAGGGCAGTCCCCAAAGCCCTTCAAACCCTAAATCCTGAATCCTGTATCTCTAATTCTAATCTTTCATCTTTTCGTTTTGGGCTTGGGGGGAGGGTATGGGGATGCGGCGCTGCGACGCTGCGACTTCAGGGAGATCGTTGCGCAGAGATGGTGGGTTTTTGAGAGGGTGCAGGGTGAAGGGTAAGGCGCGCTACACAGGTTCACGGCTTGAGGCCTAGAATGCGGGAGCTGCCAGAACTAGGTCAGAGCTGCTCACAACTCTTCATGCAATTCAGCTGGGGAGGTGGTTTACACTTCGTGCTTACGGGGATTGCCCTGTTCCAGTGCTCATGAAACTTCCTGCGAGACGAAGACTCAGGAAGGTCTTGAGTTCCTTAGCCATGGGACTTTGCGAGGGCATAGCGCAGCATGCCGTATAGCTAAACCCCAGACTGCAATGCATGGTTCAGCTCAACGTTTGGCAGAACATGCAATGCTAAAGGACTGCCGCATCAGTTAGCTCGGGCACTTGAACCTTGGGTCTGCAGCCAGCGGCCCCAAAGTGGAAACCCTACTCATTGAAGTTCATGATATCTGCGAGCCCACGAAGAAGCATCTGACAAAACCAAGCAAAGGGAGAGAGAGAGCGAAACCAAGTACTGATATGCCAAATCGTTTTAAGTGCATGCTCGGCCCCCTCAGAGTTCAAGCGCGCGAGCTGTCAAGGGAGGGAGCTGGATTTGGGTGTCGGGGTCGTAAAGAGGCGTATAGGGTTTGGGTTGTTTTGTTTCATACCGGCAGCCCAGCTTACATGTGTTGGAGTGCAGGCTGTCCCCCGTAGAGCACTCACTGTTCTGAAGTGTGGAGGTCCAAGTCCGGTGAGGTGTACTCGGGCCTGGATGTTCAGGTATCAGTACGAAAGGCCTCCCGCTCATATTAAAAGTTTGCGGGATGTCCTTCTTACTTGTAGTCGATCCCAAAGCAATTCCGGTCGACCAACACAAATAAACACATTCATGAGTTCAAAAACCGTACTCATAGACTTGTGCATGCTATATAGACACACACACACACACATATATATATATATATATATATATACATATAGATATACACATATACACATACCGGTACATTATATATATATACACACCACACGTATACATACATGCATGCATGCATGCATGGAAGCATGCATACATTACATCCACTACAAAAATTACATACACGACATACAGGCCTAACATACAAACACACAAGCAAACAAACATACATACACAGATAAATGCATACAGACCTGATATATGATATGGCATGATATGACATAACATTGCATGACATGGCATAGTACGGTATGGTACCTATCTGTAGGTGTACATATACAGGTATATATATATATACATACATACATACATATATATATATATGTATATATGGCTTTGCATTCAAATCAATCAAATGTGTGTGTATACATACATATGTATATGTATATGTATATGTATATGTATATGTATATGTATATGTATATGTATATGTATATGTATATGTATATGTATATGTATATGTATATGTATATGTATATGTGTATGTGTATCTGTATGTGTATGTGCATACATGCATGCATGCATGCATGCATGTATGCATGTATGCATGTATGCATAAGCATCTCGGCTCCACGATGCCTGTCGGAAAGACCGGCGTGCAGACGCCCTTTGGGCGCGGGCTGGGGTTGAAGTTGGTTTTGATCTGCTTAAGGGTGTTGAAGCCCTGTGAGTCCCTCTTTCGTTTCTGCTTCGGGGACCGCTGTCGTCTGACTGGTGCGCCATGGAACTTGTGGCCCTGCATGGAAGCAACAAGATCCCTAAAGCTCCCAGAACTCTGCCACGAGACCATGCTGGGATTTTCACAGAAAATGTGGCGTTGGGCCAGCTCACCAAGCAATGGCAAGAGGTTCCACTTTCTGAGCTTCGCAGGCGGCAAGCTGATCTCCGAGAGCGGTGGGAACATTCGAGTGCTTTTCAGATGTGGTTTGATGCATGGCACCTTTTGGATGGGTTTGGCAAATTGCACCTTCTGGATAGAACTTTACGATATGATCGGAAGTTTGGACTGGATATGCTACATGCTGTGTACCTGTATCAGCCTGGATGCCTGCACACCCTGGATTGAAGAGGAGGGCAAACGAACACTCAGGGGGGCAGCGCGACTCTGCCGCCATGGCTGGCACTCGGCCCCTACTCTTGGCATGGAGCAGGCACTTTGGATGTGTGTCATCCCTGTGGCTACTGCCTGCATGGGGCTCAGCCTTCTCCTCTGTGTGATTAACACCAGCATGGAACAGGTGACATGGCCGACGATAAGTCTGCCTTCACGACAGATAGCGTGCCCCAGACATGTTCTGACACCACGGCTGTTTTCACACTGTTGCGGATGTGCAGTGCAAGTGCTGTTGCAATCTGTGTCCGGTGCTCAAACGACTCGTCCCGCACAGTGGGCTCAAAAGATTTGGGCTGGTGTCTCGCAGGTCGGTCACGGCGGCACGACCATGGACAACTCCAATGCCTCCACTGCTACAGCAGATGATGCAACGAGTGCTGCGGAAGAGACCGTGGTGTTGCCGGCCTCCTCTGCACCTAGGGGGCCGCCGCCCCCGACACCGGTGCAGTTCCACTATGCGGAGCGCTCCTTGTCGCAGCACCTCTCGTCGGACATCGCGAACTCGCTCCGTACTCGGGGACAATCTTCGATGGCCATCCTCACTGTGTGTGACGCCACAATTCGCCACACAGGCAACGTTGGCTTCATCAAGGTCCTGATCACCAAGATGGAGCCCATTGATGCCGAGCACCCCTTCACCTTGTACACCGGGGACTCGGCTGAGGATGAGGATGCCGAGGATGCGGAGCACATGGAGCACATGGAGCCTACGGCAGGGACTACCACAACGGACCTGGGGAGTGGCGTCACCCCACCCTCTCCACCCTCCTTGACGACAGCAGTCACCGCGGAGGAAGCGAATGCCTCTTTGCGGGCCCATCTCAATGAGGAGGAGCTGGCTGCCTTGGCTGCACTTCCATCCCCGAACAGGCCTCCACGAGGACCGATGCACGGCAGCACCAGGGTGAGTGGAACGATAGACACGAGAGCCGGACCCAACATGCAGAACAACAATGCCAGTGGCTCTTCCTCTAGCCGACCACCGCCTGGCCGTACCCTGACCGCCGTTGCTAAGCCCCAGACGGAATCCAGTGCCAATCGGAAGTGGGGACCTTATTTGTCGGATGCCGTTGCCGATGTTATGCACCCCCTGCAGTCTTTCGCTCCCACACCTTGCTGGTACTCAGGCGACCCAGGGATCAGGCTGAGTAGATTGCACTTTGTCTCGACTGAGGGCAGGCATGCACTCAGCCATAGCCTGTGCGCGATTTTGATCTGGGGCACTCGGCTGTGCCTCTGTCTATATGCCTCTGGTGTTATGTCACCACCACACGGCATTCTCTGGCCGAGCAGAGCAAAAGTGCATCGGATCCGTGCAGCTGCCACACCCAGCCTTCAGCATCTCCCATGTATGTGCTCTGCTACATCAACACCTCTCACGTGGACGGCCAGGTACGGAATGAGCTCGTCCTTGTGTACATGGCGGGCGGCCTTACTCTGTACCACATCGTGTGTGACATTGTTCTTGGCATCTCCCGTTCTGAGGCCGGGGTGGATCTACATACTCCTCCTTCTGTTCCTCAAGAGCATCTATCTCAGCCTTGACCTTGGTCTTGCACCTTTTTGTCTACAACCGACTTCTCCCAAGGTGCTGGCAGTGTCCCATTTTTCAGGCGACATGGGCCTCGTCCTCTACGACCTCACCCAGCACCATCAACTACAGGGAGCCGCCTGGGTCCCAAGTCCCAGGGTAGTGGCGTGAAGTTTAAGACTTGGACTCTTTGGAGCCTGATTCTTCTTCATCTGATTAAGACCACACATGCCACTACTGATGCGAGGGTTGAACCCGCTGAGCACCGCAGGGGTTCTGAAGCCTCACTTCTTGTATCACCAGACTATGCCAGGGCGAAGCAGTCGAGTGCATCTCGTTACCCGTCCCGGCCGATGACCAGTGGCCCCACACCCATTCGGAAACGGGCCTTTCGCCGTGCACTCGCACGTGCAGAACTTAGTGCTACTCGCACCACTTGGTACAAAGGCAAGCAGCTTTCTGCGGAACAGCTCCGAGGATACCTTCCTGGGACCTCGGGTCCCAAATCAGGATCGCTGCAACAACACACACGACGTCCCGCAAATGACGGCCTACCTGTCCGACAGGCCCCCAGACTACGACTTCTCAGTTGGAATAGTGGGGGGCTCAACAGCATCAGGTACAAAGAACTCCTGGTCTGGCTCCAAACCGAGAACCAAGCCGGACGTGTGTATGACATCTGCATCGTTCAGGAAACTGGAGGACTCCGAGTATGTAGCGACCCTGGAAGGCTCCAAACCGCTCAGGTGGCATGCTATTCACAGCGCAGGTCGAGGTCACGATGGTATCTTGTGCCTAGTCCGTGAGGATCTCATTTCTTCCGACAATCTCCGCTACCACGTGGTGGAGCCAGGCCGGCTGTTGCACGTGAGGATTCTCTTTACTGTACGGTTAGATGTCCTCTGCATTTATCAATGGGCATGGAATCCGGGGAAAGCAGAGCTCAATGGGAAAAACCGGCAGGAAGAGATGTTGCGACAACGACGTCACATTTGGCACCGCATTGCTAAGTGGATAGAGTCCATCCCTCAACGCTGCACCTGTTTACTCGCTGGTGATTTCAATTGCTCGCTACTCCCGGAACCAGCCCTTTGCGGTAAGGGAGTGGTCACCACACATGGAGGACATCCAGATCAGGACACCTTCCAAGAACTGGTGCGTGCCCATCGATGCTGTGCTCTTAACACATGGTCCGCTTCAGGACTCTTGGCCAGGACATATGTCCCGCCGAATGCTACACCTCAGCAGGGATCCCAGATTGACTACATCCTTGTTCGCGGCACGACGACGGACCCCACTGCCAAGAAAGCCCAGCCATTCCTTACTGAGTTTGTCCCCAACACAGGCTGTCGACACCTACCCGTTCGGGCTTCGATCCCAGCTCCCAGGCGACCATGCACTGGGACCCGGCAACATCGACTAGCCCCGCGCCTGGTTCAGGTCAGCTCTAAAGCAGCCCCACTTTGTGCACGACCTTCAGCTCGATCTACATCAGGCTCTCCGCGACGAGACTAAGAAAGGTGTGGAGGATTGGAACTTTGATGCTTTGATCCTTGCAGGGTGGAAACGAGCTGTCGCCAACCAGTCCTCCCAAAAGGAGGCCCACAGGCCAGCCCAACAGCGTGATCCCGACACACTGACGGCGCAGGTCCAAACATTGTGGGCACAAAGGGCAGCTCTTCGACAGGCGGGCCGGCTGTTACATGTCTGGAGCAGACGAGGACCCTCCTTGCGACACAGCTTCCAGGTCTGGGCGTGTGCCGCCCGACTCCAGGCACACACTCGAGCTCTACGGAAAGCCTGCCGCCACAAGAAAACGGAGAAGGTGGCCGAGGCCGTCCAGGCCACTAACATCCACCAGGCTGCCAAACGGTTTGCCCCGAAGATGCCCAAACGTAGGATCCAACTCCGCCGAGAACATGGTGGTTTGCAGACCCACGAGGCTGAATTCCGACAAATTGTTCAGCACTTCACGTCTTTGTACCATGCTGCAGATATGGAACCACCCCAGCTGTCAGCAGATCTGTGTATCGAAGGGGTGGAGATTGACAGTGCCCTGTGCCGCCTACAACCTGGCAAGGCCATGCCGTCCTGCAATGCTCCGGCTGCATTGTGGAAGCGTTTTCGGCAGGACCTGGTTCCATTGCTACAGCGGCAATTCGCATGGCACCTCCGGCCTGGAGTCAGCAACCTCCCAGAAGCCTGGACCCTATGTGAACTGGTGCTATTGCCCAAGCCAGGCAAACCATTGAAGTCTCCTGCCCATCTTCGGCCAATTTCGCTTTTGGCACCCGAGGCCAAGATACTGGCCTCGATTGTGGCACAGCGGCTCAAGGAGCCCGCCAAGGCATACCTTGCCTCACTCCCGCAGTTCGCTTATGTGGAGGGACGCACCTTACAGCAAGCACTTGAACGGGTACTTGGACACTGCGCTCAGGTCAGAGGACTTGTGCAAGGCAACACCCGCAATATTCACAACAAGCGCTCGGGCAGGACCAGCCTGAGCCTTTACGGCGGATGTCAATTGTCCTTAGATCTGACGTCGGCATATGATCTGGTACAATGGCCCCTGCTGAGGCTGGCCCTAGTCGATGCAGCCATCCCGGAGCCACTCATACAGCTCATCATGCTGGTTCATCACTCAGCGAAATTGGCCCTGCAACACTGTGGGTTGCAGCAAACAGTCTCCCTCAAAAGGGGGTTGAGACAAGGTTGCAGCTTGTCGCCCACGCTGTGGGCCATCTTCTCGGGCTGGATGCTTAAGCGGATGCATGACCCTCAGCTTTTGAATGTCTATGAGACAAATACAAGCTACGCAGACGACCAGCGCTATCGATGGACCATTCGCGAAGGCAAAGACCTCGAGGCTGCCTATGCTGGGATGAAGCATGTACTGGCCTGCCTCCTCAGCGTTGGCATGATCATCAGTCAGGATAAAACTGTAGTCATCCTGGAGGTGCAGGGCACTCAAGCAGCCCGAGCTTTGGCTCGATATACCGTCGAACGACCCCAAGGCAAGTGCTTTCGATTCGTCATTGCTGATCAAACTCTGTACCTCAAGATCGTGCCTAAGCATGTGTACCTGGGAGCGGTGGTTGGCTTCCGGCACTTCGAACAGGACACCTTCAAGCACAGATTATCTTTGGCAAGGTGCACTTTTTCCAGGCTGGGGGTGATACTTCGCAACCGTGGAGTGCCCCTACGACTTCGCCTGCAACTTTGGCAGGGATGCATCTGGCCGGCCCTCTTCCATGCTCTGGACTGCACAGGGCTCCCTCAGAAGGAGCTCCAAACCCTACAGACACAGCTCATAAAACAGGCCCGTGCCATTGCCAAATCTCACAGCATGCTGACAAAGGAGACCAATCACGACTTCATTCGGCGACTCCGTCTCCCAGACCCAGTGCAGCGGCTTCAGCAAGCCCTCATGCAGCGTGTGGCCCTGGATGAAACTCTCTCCCCGGTCCTGGCCCCTGGCCCAGGTCAACTGCAGTGGCGGGCAATTGTGAGAGGGCATCTCTTTGATGGACGGAATGAGTGGACTCTACCTGACACAATTGTCTCCGCCCCAACTACCACCCCCGCGGCCCGACTAGAAGAGGTTCAGGAAGTTCTCTCCGAAATCTTCAAGTGTGACGATTGTGGACAGGAGTTTGCCACTCAAGCTGCTCTCCGTCGGCATGTGTTCTTGACGCATCTTAGCCAGCAGCAACAACAGGATAGGACTGAGGAAGTCAAGGAGTCCATTAAGGGCGCGGAAATGGCACATGCTCTTGACGGAATGCCTAAATGCAAGCATTGCCTGCATGCTTTTAGCACGTGGCATGCCTTCCATTATCACATCAACTCCAAGAGCTGTGCTGCCCTCAGAGCCTTGTCCCAGAACCCAGAGGCTCAGGCTAGCATCTTGCCAGAGATCACGGAGGCCTTGATCGCGTCACCAGTGGTGCTTGCTAAGACGGTGGACTGTACATGGCAAGAGTTGGCCCTACTTCCTTGTGTGCAGAGCACACACCACCATTGCTTAGAATGCCACCATTGGAGCACCTCCCCACAGTATGTGCGCAGACATATGAAACAACGGCACCCGGAGTACCAGGAGATCGTTGAGAGCTGCATCAAGGAAATCGTTGCCAGTAAACTCAGCTTGTCCAATCCATGTCAATTCTGTGGACAATCGTTTCGTAGAAAGGATGCACATCTGAGGGCTTGCATTGGAGTGTTTAATGGCGTCTACTTGCACCGCAGACTGGCCAGAGGAAAGTCACTTGCCATTTCGGACATCCGACCGGAGGCTTTGCACTGCCATGTTCGACAACATGCTGATGCGACCCGAGCAGTCCATCCCCTCGGAATTGACGGCAGCCACCCACGAGCTGAGTCTTCTACGAAACCTTGTGAACCAGCAAGCAGGGATGGGGGCAATCGGGTCTCTGGAGTCTCAGGAGCGACGGCCAATGGAGTGGCACATGGAGGCCGACCCGGAGGACAAGGATGTCCCAAGCCGGCGGGACAAGCCGGAGGGACGTCAGCCCAAGTGGCACAAGCCCGACCAAAAGGGCGGCCAAAAGGGCGGCCAAAAAGGAAAGGGCAGGAATCCCCTCTTCGGCCCAGCCTCACGATCCAACAACTCCTGGAGAAACAACGGCAACCCTCAGGCGTCATCGGGCAACCACTCGTGGCAGGCGGACGGGGACAAGACGGAGTTATCGAGGGCGGAGCTCCAGGAGATCAAGAATGTCCTGAACATGGTATCCACCCTCGTGATCCGCCAGGAGGTGCAGCAGAATATCCAGAGACAGGACACCGGGTTCATGGTATTTGTCCAGACTCAGGTGCCGGACAACCTGGCCCAGTCGATGTTCCAGATCGGCAAGACGTGGCACGACACCAAGCGGGACAATCCCACTGCCCTGCGACATCCCATGCGGGTCACGTTGTACCAGCACTTTGTCCAGACAATCAAGGAGCGTTTTCAGGCGATGATGCGGACACCCTCCTCACGATCCAAGGCGGAGAGCCTGGGATGGGTATCCAGCTGCGGCCGGAAGGTCCACGGCCTCAAGTGGGACACAACGCAGCAGGCGCATGTACAGGACGAGACCATAGCGAGCCTAGAGGTCGTGGAGATCGAGGAGGCATTGGACGAACTCCTGACGTGTGCCCCCCAACAGCTTGTCATCCAGCGGTTCCACGCCACTCGCCAACTGGCGGCGGAATATCAGTCACCGGTGATCACCATGTTCCTGGAGGTGGGGATGAGGACCGACGCTGCCCAGTCAACGTGGCGGATGCTACACCTATTGGAGCGATCAGCGGTTTGGGCCTCTGGAGGATGTTTCCTGAGGCACGAGCGACTACAGATGAGTGCTTTGGCAAAACGCCTCTCCACATACATTGACACAGTGAAGTGTGTCCGACTGGGGAATAAGCATTGCTTCTGTTATGCGAATGCGCTGATGATGAGCCTGCTCTGTATTGACTGCAGCATGGAGGGACCATCTCTCTTCAGTGGGGTTGCTGCACGAGTGGTTGACGCCATCCTTCAATCTGCGGGACAAATTTTCCACCTCTGGGAGCAAGGGGAGTGGATTTCCATGATGGAATGGTGGGTCCAACCTACTCGTCAACATGATGTGGCGGAGTTCCTCGCCTTTCTGACCAAGTGCCCGTACATCAATTTTGATAAAGTAGCACTATCCTGGCAAGCCAGGTCTGCGGCTGTAGCGGGTGATTACCTTATCCAGGATCTTGGATACTCTGTTCCCTTAACTCTTGTTCCTCCTTGTGATGTTGGTCTGGATAATGGGGATACCTATACGGTTCAGGATCTTGTGCAAGCGTGGCACAATCAAGATGAGGTTTTTGCTGCTTGGCCGCCTCCTTCTGCAATCATTTTGCAGCTTAGCCGTTAGCCGTTTTCACTACGACAAACAATCTGGCAGGCCTCTGAAGCGTCGCTATCGGGTTACTCCGAGTGTTGAGATTCAGTTTCCGGTGTTTGAACGAGGCCTACACTGTCGTAGTGTGCGTATGCACCTCAACTCAGTGGTGCTGCACTTGGGCGAAGCCCCAACTCACGGTCACTACAGGACACTACTCTATGATGGGTGCAATTCCAATTTCTGGTTGACTGATGATGCTACTGCGGCTCATCGGGTTGATGGATCTACTATTGCCTCCTTCTCTTCTGATGTCTATATTCTTACTTATACTATCCGTCCTGTGACCGGCCCTGCTCGAGGGCATTAGTGCCGAGGGCCAGAGTTGCTCTCGAATTGGGGTTACCGAACTTTTGGGAGTGGGGGAGGATGTGTTAAATACACAGCACTGCCGGGCTAATTGCCTGTCCTCCATTAGCGACAGCCGAGCTTCGAACTCTGCTACGCGGAAAGTGCGAAAGTGCATGTATGCATGTATGCATGTATGTATGTCTGTCTGTATGTATGTATGCATGTATGTTAGTGTATGTCCGCGTGTGTATGTATTTGTTTATGTATGTACGTATGTGTGTATGCGCATGTGTGTATGTCGGTGTGTTGGTCTTCTGTATAAGTGCATGGATGCGCACATGTAAATTTTTATGCATGGACATAGGTTGTATTTATGGCTGGCATGTTGACCAATTCTTGCCGACAGCCACATGCACAATAATTTGTAGCCGTGAAAAACACCTGAGCTACCACTATTCAACACCCTTGAACTCACCAGTTTGTGCGGAGAGATAGCGACTGCAGCGAAGCTTCGCACCTGTCAGTCCTTCACTTTTACCATGGTGTTCGGTGTTCGAGCCATAAGCCAGCTCACTTCTCGTTTTCGGCGTTTGCAGCCGCGATGCCTTGTTCCTCGCTCCAGCCTCTCGCTTCTAGCGTCTTGAGCTGGTTGACTGAGTTGTTGATAGCTTACGCATGTCTTCTGCAGGGAGCCGTGTGCCAACTTCTGTCATAAAGGCCTTCTTCCTTAAGCGCTAGGCCCGGAGGCATTGCGGAGCTTTTTCACGACAGCGCTTAAAGCGCGCCGGCTATCCATGCTCTGCCAGACTGGCATATGGGAGGATAGTCTAGTGACCTGGCGTGAAGACCTCGGAGCGGAGGCAATGACCATTCCATCCCAACGTAACTTCTTCAAACTTCAACACGGGCATGCCCGCTGCGGAATGTCAGCTATTCTCCGCGTTCGCTCCTGTATGCGAAAATCTTTAGGATGTAGGACCGGGTCTCCGTGAGTGAATTGTGATAGGCCAGCTCTCCGATCGATCAAGGCAATGCAGCACTGGGATAAATTCTATTGGACACTGAATGCAATGCTTGCCTCTGCGCTTGGCGGAGTTGCCGAAGGAAGCTCCCCACGAGGATCTCGACGCTGGTGCTCGCTGTTTTGCTGTGAAGGTTTGCAGTCGAGGTCTTTCGATGTGCATGGATTTGAGGGATCTTCCTTGGGTATTGCAAGATCGGAGCCCCCCCGAACCCCTTTTTGGGGGCTTGTATAATGACTGTAGTGCAGTGCTGAATACCAGAAACCAAGTTCAAACGTCGCAGAGATCAGGCAGTCGCACTTGGAACCCTCGGCCGCAGACATTTGAGTCCATCTGCAGCATAGTAGGCCGCTGCCAGCAGCAATACTTCTGGCCTGCTATCGCGAGTCTTGCGGATTTGTGGTCCAGGGCCTAGTACCAGCCCGAAGCTGCCCTTAACTTCATTGATGTCTTGTTCTGTGTTCTCGGCGCATCAGCTCGCGCAATGCAGTGGCGGACTCTTTTTGCCACAGACACCCGTAACTTGACGCACGAAAACGATGCAGACTTGTCCACTCAGTTGTGGGTTGGGCCAGCTTCCGGGTAATGATCCTATAGTCATAGTCTTGTAAAGGATTCGGCAAGTAATTAGTCAGTGAGACATTGACAGCGTTTGGCTGAGTGTGAAGTTTGAAGAGAGCTCCTGTCCAAGCCGCACTTGAAAGAGATTCCTGATGTGCCGAGGCCTCAACGTTGCTTTTGGTTTGTGAGTCGACCGGCAGCCGAGCATACACGAGAGAGGTACTCCCAAACCTTCTGCTCTGCTGCAGCGTCCCCAAAACCATTGCCCACAAATTGCCGAACGCGGTTTGGGCTTGGGATGAGAGCCGCGGGGGTTGTTTTCAATCTTAAGCTTTTTGAACCTAGTCTTTTTTCGTACAGTTTACGGTGAAGCCTGAAGACTGCCAGATATTGCCTGTGATCTGCTCGCTTTTGCAGCTTCTCGGCTTCAAATGCAACACACAGTCACAGACTGACAGAAGCTTCCTGGAGCAAGTGCGACTGGCAGCAACTTGAGTGCTAAACCGACTGCTGGCTGCCAGACTGCCAGACGGCACGAAACAGAACTCGTAAGCGTCTCGTAAGTCAAACGTTGTAAATCCTCTGACGGGTCGTGGCATGGGCAAGAAACCGCCACATGGCCGCAAGCGGAATGTCCGTGCTGGCGACACAGATAAGCCGTTACTCAAGAATAGACACCGCGTTGTCGCAATAGCAGTCTCGGCAACGTAGTCGCAGCAACTTTTGCCTCTACAATGTAAATCCTTTCGAATATTCCGTCTAGCAAGTCCTTGTCGAGCAAGGCTGCTCAATTCCTCCAAAACTACGCCCATGCTGATGTTCTGTCGAAGGCACTACCTTTGTGCATTGCCGGAAACTGTTAAACCACGCCGACAGGCCGCATGAAAGAACGCCGAACCGCCTCAAACACGTAGAATCCATGGGCACATAGAAGCTGCCATGCCTTACTGCTGCGCCGTTGTAAATCATGAGCCCCCGCACCCTCAGCCGCAGGCGCTCACCCTAAACTCGTCCAGCCCTCAAACCGTTGTAGGCTCAAGAACCCGAAAGCCTAAACTCACAGAAGGGCTTGCAGAGCCCAGGAAGGAGAAGCCGGCCAAGGCCAAGGCAGAGGCCGATCCCGATCCTGCGGCCGAACCCGAACCCTGGATCTGTGAGGAGTGTGGGCAGGCCGGCATTCGGGGGGCTTAGGGCTTGGCGACGTAGGGATTCGGGAGGATTTTGGGGTTAAGGGTTCCTTGGCTTCAGGACTGCTTTACTTCAGAGTACGGATTTCGCCCTCTCGAGTAGAGCCTACTGCCGAACAGGTGTGTGCTCCTTCACAGCCCATATCATATCAGCATCGCCTAAAACATGTGCATATGTATATTTGCACACGCACCTGGACCTACGCATATACATGTGTGCGGCGCATTACTTCGTATGTGTGCATGCATATATATATATATATATCCATATTTATAACTATATACTTTTATATTCAGTCACAGGCGCATGCATGCATGCGCACATCCATCCCCACCATCCATGCATCCATCCCTGCCTCCATCCATCCATCCATCCATCCCTCCATCCGTCTATCCGTCTATCCGTCCATCCACTTGCATACATGCATTCATACGTACGTACATGCGTACGCGCAGACACGAACACACACACACAGAGTTATGTGTATACATATATATATGTATATATGGGCATATATATATGGGCATATATATATATATATGTGTATATATGTACATGTATATGTGTACATATATGCATGTGCATGTGCATGTGCATGTGCATGTGCATGTGCACGTGCACGTGCATGTGCATGTGCATGTGTATGTGTATGTGTGTTTGTGTGTGTATGCGTATATGTATATGTATATGTGAAAAAGAAAGCGCGCCAAACAAGCCATTATGCAGCTGCTTTGCAGAGCTTGCGTTCGGACAGATGTAAACACCTTCTCAAGACTATGTAAGTCCCTTCTGTGAGTGTTGGGACCCCCAACCCTCTCAAACCCAAAGCCCTCAACAACGAGTGTGCGAGTCCAAACCACAGGAGAACCCGGCAGAAGAATCGATCTGCGTGGCGTGTGGGGTTGCTGAGCTTCGATTGGCCACACCGTTTGCCAAATGAGTTTCAGAAAAGATCCTGGGGTACTCGTTGGAAATAGTTGCGTTTTGCTCTGCTCGCTGTTGTGGGCCCGATGTCTTGAAATTAAACGTGGCATGCTTTTTGCCCCGCCCAGGTGCGGCGGTACCGGTTTTGTCTAGGTGTGGCGGGACAGGCCTCCTTTGGTCTCGGGGTCGTCGCATGTCCGCTCCGTGTACTCAGATTGTGACGGTCTTTGTTGTTGGTCACGGCTGGTTCCTGCCACTCGCGCCTTCGTCTAGCGCGCACCCGTGTTATAGTCCAATGATTTTCCATGACCTCCGGGAGCCCTGCTCCAATCATGTATTTGAGCCCACTCCTGTTCAAGGCTTCGATTGCAAGATGCGATCTGCTTCGAGCAAACAAGTCTTGGGCCGCGGAGAATCTGTGAACCGAAATCTTACAGAACAGCTCCTGCCTTGCCATCCTCTGCCCTTAAACCCGTTCTGGGAGCACAATGATTGCTAGTGCACTTCCTTGGCACCTTCTTCATGCCTGTAGAAAATCCCGCCAAACTCGGCGCGACACGAGATGGAATTCAGGCCCTGAGTTGTAGCCACGGCCAGATGCTTTTTTCAGCCATTCAGGAGCTGCTGCAAGTTTCGCAAATCCGAGTCGAAGTGGGCCATTGAGTGGTTTTCGTAAGGCTTGCCAATGCTGGCCCTTGACCAATATAGACCGATTTTCCTAGCAAATCCATTTCGAGTCACGAAGGCCCACATTGAACCCTGCCCAAGGCCTATAGGCCTACATGCCTTTACGCCCCCTTGTTACACCCTCTTCTAGCTAGTCTTTCCGCAGCTCAAAGGCACCAAAGCCCGCAGTGGTCGACCCGAGATTCGACGGTTATGTGGTGGGCTTGGTCCAGAGCCGAGCCTGCAAGCAAGTTGCATTCAGGCAAGACGCGCTGTAGAAGGGGCGGGGATTGTGGAAGTAGTAGCCCGTTCATCAGCGCTTAGGTAGATGTTTAGGATTGACACAGTCCCTACATAGAGAAATCGCACTGCCCGCCCGAATAGGCAGCAAAGAATCCAAGAACCCTAAACACGAAACCACATGAAGAGAGCCCTCATAAACGACACTCTTGCATGCTGTGAGAGTCTGGAATCGAAAGGCAAATTCTGTGCTGCCCCTCGGCCCGGCAGCGGATAGGAGTTTGATACGAGCATCTTGGAGCTGAAGTTCCAGGTTCGGAGAGACAACACCTAGAGCTTTCTTTTGAGAACTGAATGCGTCGCAAGCCATGCCATAGCAAGGAGAGCGCGGCAAAACTACCGAAAACATGGGGGCATTGCGAGAATGGAGGAGCCGAGACGATTAGTAAGTAACCTACTGTACAACACCGACATGTTTTTAGTAGATATCTCCAGAGCCTCGGTCAAAAGATTTCGTGGGGTCTGTTTTAAAGCTATCTCTGAGGACCTGCGAACCAGTTCCCGGCAAGGCTTCTTGGTTGTACCGAAGTTTGCAAAGGTAGCTGGAAGCTGTGTGCTGCGGCCGTTTGCATGCTGTTCTTGCTGTATTCGCTCCATTGGATATTCAGTTTTCCATCTTTGTTTCTAGGATCGTATCTAGCTTGAAGGCCTGAGCTGTTTGCTGATTGCATTGTGCCGCTTGCTGCTTTTCTCGCACCGACTTGTTCTGCTACGGCTAGGTTGCTAGTAAGACTGCTGCTGCTGCTGCTGCAAATATTGCTGCCTTTGTCCCTAACCAGTTGCCGTGAAGTACATGTGAAGCTGGAAGCCTGGCATAATGCCCGGCCTTTGCTCCTTGGGTGTCAAGGCGAGTGAGCTCGAGCTTTTGCTTAGATCCGAGCTCAGAGCTCGTCGCCAAAGCATTGAGGGCGCGCACTGTAGACCTTTCTTGAATGCGCTGTTTTGCAGGGGTCAATCGGAGACTCCCAACAACTGACACTCATGTACGAACAGCTACAGAGTCTAGGATAAATCCTGAGGACAAGCTAAAGAAGCTGGAAGTGGATGTCGGGGAGTCAGCTCCGCTGAGAATTGTGACGAACGCTTCAAACGTGAAGGACTTGTTGCGCAGCTTCTTCGCAGCTTCCTAATTTAGACTGTTACAGACTGTAGATGTGTGCAGGTCAGACCATCGGCCGTGAATGTCATATCGTACTGTAGCCACTTTGGCTGAGGACCATCGCTGACCGACAAGCCCAATAACTCTTACACACTCCAAGACTTTTTTGGCAGGCATGTCTCGGCCAAACCGTCGTGCCGCCCGTTTGTCTGCACATCTAGTTCCTCGCCTTTGCAAAGACTCATTCGGGGCCTGCGGTTGCAACTCGCCACGGCAAAGTCAGGGAAGCCTGATTCCTCGCATTTGCCGCAATGACCCGGCAACAGGCTATAGTTGGAGAGATGTTCATGATGATCTTGAGGCTGGGGTCTATGCGGGATGCTATGGTTGGGACCATGCTGCCTACTGGGGCATCGCTGAGGCCAAGGCGGGGGTCGACTTGAAGGAATGGTACAAAACTCGAACAGAGGCCGAGTTTTATTTGCCGGAGTTCAAGGAGCTGATTGAGGACCCAGGGACTCACAAGGATTGGGATCGCATCTCTACCTTTGACCCCTTGGGCATGACAGCACATCCTCCCACCATTGCCGCTTGCAAAGCCAAGCTGGATATTCCAGAGCTCAAGGACTTGCGCATCGACGGTAAAGTCGTTCTGCCCTCGAACGAGATTGTCACATCAAAGTGTGCCATCAGCTATGCCTGGAACATTCCTCTCATGGCAGAGAGGGTGGGCCTCAGTGAGCAAGAGCTGCGGGAAGCCCTGCACAAGTTCTCCCATGACAGCCGGCTGCTGGACCCCAACGTGAAGACCTATCTTCCGCCTGTCGGTGGGCTCACAATCTACACTTTTGGTGATGCAAGGAAGCTCAAGGATGAAAGGACAGAGGTGTGCGTTCGCGTGCACGATGAGTGCATCGGCTCGGATGTATTCGGAAGCGATATCTGTAGCTGCCGGCCCTACCTCATCTTCGCACTGCGCGAGGCTGTCGAGTGTGCCCAGCGGGGTGGGGTTGGTGTCGTGATTTACTTCAGGAAGGAGGGTCGCAGCCTTGGTGAAGTGATCAAGTTCAGGGTGTACAATGCCCGTGTGAATCAAGACGGTGGAGATCGCCCGGAGATGTATTTCCACCACACGGAAGCCATTGCCGGCATCCGAGATGCACGTTTCCAGACTATGATGCCGGACGCCCTGAATTGGATGGGAATCCGACGCATCGATCTTCTGTGCTCTATGAGCAATGAGAAGTATGAAGCAATCACTGGCGCTGGCATCCAGGTCGTGAAGCGTGTGGACCTTCCTGAGACCTACATCAAAGACAGCATGAAGGTCGAGCTTGACGCCAAGATCGCGAGTGGATATCACTCTGACAGAGTGGAGCAAGAGCAGTTGCTACACACGTCGGTCGGTAGCCCCCGATAGGGGCAGCAGTACAGAATTGAGCTGCCCCTGGGCTTTAATTACCCATTTTGCCTGCTTATATTTGAAGATTCGTCCTCTGGGCAACCAGCCGTGAGTTGACACGCTTCCTTGAAGCTGTTTACCTTAGCGGCCTTAGCGGTTTCACCTTTCGCGTTGCAGATGTGAGAGCAAGGGCTCCTCACAATTGAGAACCATGCTCAACTCTTGCTGTTGCTTGGTCTGGAGTGTGAGCACCAGGTACCACTTCCTAACCTTCAAAGCATCTCCATCCGATCACCCATAAATGATCCGAGCCTGAGTGCAAAATTCGCAGGACGGCTCGAGAGTGGTTGTGGCAAAAGTTGGCGCCATCGTGAACGACGAACCCCTGGCCCTTCGACTGGTTGAAGTTGAGTTTGGGCTTCGAGTTTTTTGGAATTCTGTCTTCTATCCCATGTTTTAATCCCCGGAGATGTGCTCCGCCGGTCCGTGGCACAGGATTTAGCGGCCCTATGGCCGAAGTCTGCTCCTTTTGTTCCTGTATCAAGGGCTGAAGGCTTACGGGATGCTGTCGATGCTCCAGGGGTGTAGGTAGACGTGCCACTGCGCGAGTCTCTGATGTGGTGGCGATGTCGTCCCTGGTGTCTTCGTTCAGGTAAGAGTTTAGCCAGGCTGTAGCCTGGCTTCGGAATATTCTTAGATGGTTATCTTCGAAGGTGGGTTGACGTCGCTGTGCTACATCAAGTCATGTTTGAGTTCTTAGACCACTTGTCGTGAATCCTTGCCTGCTGCGTGCGAGTGCGAGTCGAAACTAAACCTTGTCATGGCAGACCTTGCCACACTTTTCCGAGTGTGGGCGTGCGATGTGACCTGTAAGCGTCCGACATTGAAGAAGGCGGAGGAAGTGTAGTGGCAAGTCGCAACACTGTCGCGAAAACTGCCTGTATCCCCCAGAAGGACCTAATGACAAGACCAAGCCCGGCCCAAACCCAGGCCAAAGCGACAGTGGGAGGCTGCCCGTCGGAAGGCATGCTGTGTGCGGCGTGGCCCTACTGAGGATTTCTCTTTGGGCTTCAGGTTTTGGGAGAGCTCCATATCTTTCAGGTTGGAAGATTCAACACAGCGGGTGTCCAATGTTGAGGCTCAAAAGCTCGAGACTCGATGCTCAGATTTCACAGAAGGAGGAAGGGAGTGTTGCCACTCCAGCCAAACTTAGTCACTTAGTCTTTTTGTCACACAGGACTCCTTGGGATGAGCATGCTTTCAGTTGATTTCGCGGAACAGATGCAGATTTTGCTTCTGAGGTAGTAGGTCCAGTAGATATACTAGGATTGAGAGTAAGGGTCGTTTCTTGAAGAACGTGGGTCCTTGAAGTTAAAGGGGAACGACAGTTTTTTCGCCACTGACAGGGACTGAGACTTGGTTGAGATCATTGAAATACATGAAAACAGCACTCTGTAGAATAAGCTTTGCACCCTGCTGCGAGACGGCCGAATTAAGGATTCCGCAATGCTTGGCTGGTCGGGTGGCGGCGCGGGTGCGGCCGCACTGTTGCCGGAGCCATGCTGTGGTTATTCTAATTGAAGGTAGATACAGCAGCAATCAAGACATTCTTCAGCCGGGGTTCTACGTATGCTTTTGACCACGGTTTTGCTGGCTTTGGTCTGGGCTTTCGCCATCGTCCGCGGGTTGACAGGTTTATTGGCGTTTGTGAGCTGTTTTGGGCCCAAGGGTCTGGATCGAGCTGCTGGCCAAAAGGCACACATTTCCGTTGATGACTCGCAGGCTCACCGAAGAACACATGAGGCCCTCCAACGAAGGTAACCGTCACAGCCGAACACAAACCAGCTGGGCAATGCTCCTGCTGATCTTAGTAATGATCCCCATATCACGACAACCTGGGTGCAAATCTCGAGTTCGCAGATGACCTTCGTTTGTTGTCATGACCCTGGGCACCGAACCAGGGCCGAATCTGCATTGCAACGTCTTCAACCAAGATTCACGCAAACGTGTGCGCGCGTCTATAAGTCAGTGAGCTGCAGCCCGTGTAGCCTGGCCTTGTCTCGGTCCTTGGTTAAATCTTGTTGCCAATATGTTGCTATGTGTCATGCTTACTACATTTTCCTGACTATCTGCATCGGCCAAGTGACAATGACAGTCGACGAGGAACGTCCAGCGCAGGGTTTCCACCAACGCCCAAAAGCCTCGAACTCAAAAACTGGGCTGCGCCGTGTTCTCTCTTGACGCTCGGCCCCTTGTATCTGGAAGAACTACCAGGACAGCTTTCTGGTGGGAGGGCCTCCGCCGGACGCGCGACCCCGGACAGACGGCAAGTGAGTGCACGGCATGAAAATGCAAAATCTTCTAGACCGCAAATAAGAGTTCTGTAAACTCTACCTGCAGTGCAGGCCGAAGTCTAGAGCAGCCCTGGTAGAGGGTGTGGCATTGAAGCATTATGCTGCTTGAACTGGTGTGTGGCTCCGAAAAGGTTTGGTTCAGGGGCGTGTATGCTTGAATGCATGTACTCGGCAGAAGCTAATGTTCCTGCGGCTGCTTTTTGCCGTCACCGAGCGGTTTACTAGCGAGCCAAGACCATGAGTCAGCTGAAGCTGATAGGCCTCAACTTGCCCAGTTTAGCAAGCTGCAATACCTGGGTCAGGTGGAAAAAAGGCAGATTGCTTTGGACGAATATGGGGAGTTGCGATATGTCCAGCTAGCAGCACTAGGCAGCCACTGAAGAAAAAAAGACAAGGCGAGCAGATTAGAATGACGACGGTTGAATTTCCCTTGAGCGGCTAGAGCGGCTACACCGGCGACATATCAGCACAAAAGAACCCGCCGCAGCTCGAGCTGCTGGAATTCCGTATTAGCAGTTACTTTTCAAAGGGAAATGCAGACGCCAGGCCGGGACACCATCGCTGCAGTTGTTGCAACCTAGCTTTGGTGAGGACGCTGCGTCTCAGGATTCTAGAACGACCTCAAGACTTCATCAATTTCTTGTGGCAGTGTTTCGGCCGTTTCTTTCTGTGAAGTTTAACAGCACATGTGCATTCGCAGTTTATATCGGTTGCAGCAGCATCTGTTTCTGTAGTTGGGTTGTATTCGTTCTAACTGCTGGATGCAGAAGATGCGTTTTTCGCGAGCATATCCAATAAAGACAACTGGTGTGTGACCATTTCTCGACAGCTTCTTTGTTCCTCAGGGCTTTGCTGGGCTCCACGCTTGCTCGGCCCGACTGCTTGCAAGGATCACAGACATGTGATCTCGTAGAAGCAAACAAACGCCTTGAGTACCGCCCAGCACTGTTTGTGCTTGCTCGTTTCGAGCTTGCTGGTACGAAGGTCGCGCAGACTCTGAATCCCAAACCATGTAGACCTTGAGCATGCCGTCGATTGGCTCAGACTGGTACGGTATCGTGAATGTCCTGAAGCTGGGGCCAATCTCCATACAGCGGTGCAGATCCAGCTCATTGTTGAATTTCTTGAAGAAGAACCATTCAGGCAACCACCAGAAGAGGCAGCGCTTCTTGCAACCGTTGATACGTGAGCTTCGGCACAGCCTTCAATCCGAACCTTCATGCTGCCATTGACCGCAAGCCCTGAACTCGAAACCCCAAGCTGTCAGTCAACGTGAGACCACCTCGCCCCATGCACCCGCCATGGCGGCCAAAGAGGAGGTGGCCCACCGCGTTCCGGCCATCCTTTCACACGTCGAGTCGGCACCCTGTCTGTCATGGGGTCGGCGAAATATAGCCAGAGCAACAGTGATGACAAAGACGATGGTAGCAATGCTGACAAGCGTGATGAACAGATGCATGGATGCGAGATTCTGATATCCCGAATGCCTGCATTAAGCACAATGATGGGAAGCGTTCTTTCGAGGGCATCTCGCAGAAGCATCGATCCCAGCGGAGAGCTGTCAGTCATGCCGCTGTCGAGACTAAACAATGGGAGGCATACTTAGTCACAAGTTGTTTGTGGTTGTCAGCCGTCAGCCTTTTTTCAGCGATACCCATCAGGACCGACAAGCTGTGAACGATCACATTTCGTCTTGATGTGCGGCGTTGGTGATGGTGGCTCGGTGACGATGCTGGGGAGGTGGTGGTGGTGGTGGTGGTGGTGGTGGTGGTGGCGATGGAGGTCACGACGATGATGCTCAGAGACGGACGTTAGCGGCGGAGGCTGTGACGTTGTTCAGTCAGTCCGGTGATGCCGAGCCTGATCTTGGATCGCAAAGGATCTCGTGTCGTTGGCCATTTGCGGCTACATTGGCGGCCGCTGCATGCACTTGAAATATCCGGGCCCTGTGTTTCCCAGAGCCCGGGCTGCATTCAGAGTTCAGAGCAACTTGAACTGAGTGTTGCAAAAAGCAAAATCGCACTGGCCGTGATGTAACGATGTTGTTTGCATGGGATGTGATTCTAGGAAACGCGACCCACTGTTGACTACTCCAGTACCCGACCGTATGTTTGCCTCGGAATGAGAACCATGTCGTTGGATGTGGACGCTCGGTCGCTGCGCGTGCGGTGCCGCTTTGACATTGGCCTCGTGAAATTCCGGCAGGTCTTTTGGGGAAGCGGAGTTTGCGGTCGTGTCTCTGAATCCCGCCAGTACATGGGGACAACCATTGGTGACCGTGGCTCTAGCTTACGCAGTGGTTCGTGAGCAAGTTGCCCATGCAACTTGTGACAAGTTGTGCGAAGTGAGCCAAGAAAAGACAAGAAAGAGACAAGAACCCTCAAGAGATGGGAACACTTGTTGTCAGAAGGTTCAAGAAAACAACGTAAACAACGATGCACAAGACGTGCCACTCACCAAGGAGGGCATGGCCAGGGGCGGCCAAAGGGTTGCCTTTGTTTAGTTTTGCAGTTTCTGTACCTAGCGTTTAGCTGGAAGGGTTGTGGCTGGACCTGTGTGGCTGCAGGGGTGTGGCTGGAAGGGGTGTGACTGGGTGGTAGCTGGGCGTGGCTAGAAGGGTGGCTGGAGGGGGGTGCTCGGAGGGGAGGTGTCGAAGGGTTTGGC